GAGAGAGAGAGAGAGAGAGACGTGGCCTTGTCTCAGGCAGCGCTCCATCTTCCATTCATCTTCGTCGGCCTCCCTCCTTGGTGCCGGAGCGTGGATGAGTAAGATGCTTTGTCTTTTCTTGGGAGCCGTGCCGATCGACCTCGATGAAGTAGCTGGTCGGAGGCACCACCTGCCGGCGAGAACACAGCGCTGGGAGCACTGGGTTGGCTTCGGGTCTCTTTTTGGGGTCTCCTCGTCGACGGACTCTTTCGAGGCATCGGAGTTGCGCCTGGCGACGAAGGACAGTCTTCCTCGTTTAAGGGAAAGCGTCCCGACCCCCCCCCGGTGCCTGGCTTCCTGTGCCTGTAGATTTGCCTGCGACAGGAGCCCCACTCTCTTTTCAGTCAAGTCGGTCGCAAAACCGGGGCCTGCTCCGGTGAGACTAAGCCTCAATAACACACTTGCGTGACTCAAAAAGCAGTGGAGCAGCCGCGTCCGCGTGAACACGTTTCTTAAAGCCGGGGGCCCCGACTCATCCTTCTCTGGATGCCCGACACCAAAGAGTGGGAGAGCAGGTAATCTCCTGCCATGCGCCATGGCGCCGACGTGTGCCATGCGATGAATCCACAACATCGCCTTTTGGGCTGCTGGTTCCCGAGGCTCGCTTGGCCGCCTGGAGAAAGCGGAGAGGGCTTCGGGCCTCTTCGGGCCTCTTCGGCTTCGGCAGTTTCGGCCTTGTTCAGCTTCACGGTCGGAACCTGAGCTGCGGCCGTCCCGTCCAGCTCAGGTCACCAGAGAGCGGAGGATTTTTGCGTGCCCGGAACACATACGCGTGACACTGAGAAGCCGGCGATGGTAAGCTGTGCCAAGTGGGCGTCTAACGCCTGGAAAATCCAAAAGAAAAAGAACCGGTTTTCCCTTTGCCCTCTCTTTTTGCCGGCTAGTGCTGGGTCCCTGGACTCCAAGGATGAGTGGAGACTTCGGGGCGGACCGTGCCACCGACACGAACTCCTGGCAGACAAAAGCTCCTGGAATCGAGATTGACCGAAAGAGACAACACAAAGTCCTCATCCATGAAGGTCGTCGCCTAGTCAGCCGACACAAAGCTCAAAAAAGAGCTCAGCTCTCTCCTTTTTAGCAGAGGGGACTTGCTTGGGCTCCCGGCGATCAGGCGCGCGAGGGCCTGGCCCTGTGTCGCCGAGGTCCGATCGCAGATCACCACCTTTGAAAGGACTTCCCAGGCCAAACAGAAGAAGCAACCAAAAGCCCCTGCAAAAAGCCCTGCATGCCTTACTTACACTTAAGGCCCCCTGCTGCGGCGAAGCGGGTCTCGCCCCCGCCGTCGTCGTCTTCGAAGCAGACCATCGTCTGAGGCTTCGGTGCGCTTGCAATGTAGAAAAAAAAGGGGCGTTTCAAACATATTTGGGGGCTTTCGTGGGCGGCTCCTCCTTCTTGGAGAGCCGCGCCAAGGCCAGGGAGGGCTGCTCCATGCTCTCCCCGCCTGAAGCCGAGAGGAGGGCTTACTTAGCCTTTCATTTCGAGGTTTCGAAAGCTCCTCCTTAAGGAGGTTGGGGGCGAGGCCCGGACTTGCAGAGCAAACAAAGACCTCGATGGCCTGCAGAGACAGGGAACCAAAGGGCACGGCCGCCGCGGCCCTACGAGTAGGAGCCCCGAATGAACCTGTCCTCGCCCACTGCGTCGTCCTTGGATGGTGTCCGCTCCTGCCACAAAAATCGGAGCGATCGGCAGGCGGCACGGACACAAACATGCAAGGCTTTAAAGTTCCACGAGCACCGCACTTCAGTCTTCTCCTGGGTGACATAGGGATGGTCGTGCAGCAGCAGCTCCACCTTCCAAGCCGGGAGCATCTGTGGCGAGCAACTCCTATTCTCAAAAGGAAACGACTTTGGGGTGGACTTTCTCCGACATCTACTTCAAGCAAAAGAGCGGTGTGCATGCCCACTGCACTCCGCCTCTTGCAAAATGCTTCCAGCCACTGCGCCACCCAGCTCTGCGAGCCTGAGCAGTAGTTGGGACCGCCGCAGAGTTTTGGGGTTAAGGGCTTTGCTGCCGAGCTACATCTTCGTGAAGAGCTCCGAGAACTTGAACTCACCTCTTGCTGCTGCGGCTGGCATATGATGCCGGACGCTTCCATTTCATAAAAATCTCTATACTCATTAATACGAATCTCCGCTCTCCTCACCTTTCAAACCTCGGTGGGAGAGAGAGACACAGAGAGACAGCGGGAGAGAGCGAGCACCTTGGGAGTGGATGAGCCACTCTGAGAAAGAGAAGCGTCCCCCATGTCATGCCCCTCTGAGATATGAAAGAGTGGCATGGACCTTTATGTATAGTT